CTCTTCCATTGGTTGCGCGAGCGTGCGTGTGTGTGTGTGTGTGTGTGTGTGTGTGTGTGTGTGTGTGTACGTACGTGGAGATCAAACTGGTCTCTGAAATTGTTTTGAACCCCGAGAAGCAGTATGTTTCTAGTTTTATATCCGTAAGGGAGATCAAGATCTAATTTCACATAGAGGTTTGAACTTTTTAAAAACAAGGTTTTAATTCGTTCGAAAATAATTTCACACTGGCTCGCGAAAATGTTTTTCTCGGATTTGCGAAAGTGGTGAAGGGGGTTATTATTGTTATTTTCTAAATGGTGCAAAAATAACACGCTGTAGGTCTAGTAACCAAGTAACTATTTTTTTATCAGACAAAACTTCTGTTGGGATGTTATTGGTTGAAAATATATATATAGGATTTAATTCCTATATAATAAAAAGCAACAAGAATAAAATTAAGTAAAATTAGTAATAATTACATAGTAGTAATCTTGTCATACCTTGACTTTGTGAATGAACTTTTTCCGATTGTTACAGGTCTTCCCACAATTGACAGGATGCAAGGAAATAACCTTCAGGCTTGTACCAGAAGATCAATGTGTCTGTTACCGACTCCACCCTTTAAACTGGGGATTTACATATCGTAGTTAATCCAGGTGAGGCTTCAACAGTGAACTCTCGGAGTCGTAGGTTTTCTGTTAGAGTTTTCTTCTTTAAACACATGCCCGAGCATAGTGTAGGCGTCTGAGCAAAATGGATTGAAGTTATGTTTTTTTCTCATCCCGAAGGATTGTAGTTTATTTATTGGTTTACTTTTAATATTAAGTATTAATCTAGTGTAAGGCTTGCAAACCCATTTATAACCTAGAGTCACCATTACTTCAGCCTCTTACTATGTTAGAATTTAGGTATATATATATATATATATATATATATATATATATATATTATTTTTGTGTGTTAGTCATGTAATTATACAATGAAATAATTAACAATAAAAATAATAGCAGTAGAACTAAGGAATAAATTTTAAAATAAAATGAAAATTAATTATTATGGAAGCCCCTTTTGCTAAAAATACTTGGCTGTCTTCTAGAATGAAAAGAATAAATAGGAGTTTCGATAGATCTCACATCTGAGAAGAGAATCGTGTATCAACCCAATTTCTGTCATCAACATATTAATGAGAGATTATGACTAAGTTTACTGTCAATGACGGATATAAGAAAGCAAACTCTTCACCAATGTCAAGATGCAAGTTCCGTCTATTGTTGAGCAAAATAAAGGAAGGGAAAAGACTCTTGTCCCAAACTATTACTCAAGTACCACAATAGCTATTCTCCTGCCTCGTCAAAAATACTCTGTGAAGTTTATATGAAATAATAAGCCCTATTATCAAGTAACCATTCTTCATTTATGTTCCAATGTTCTTTCAGGATGTGGGTGATCATGGCTCTCCACAACTGCTTGCCTTTTATTTCTCGTTATTATCGTTTTTTTTTTCGTATTCTACCATCAATTCGCACACACATGCTAAGTGTTAATATATTACACGCTATCTCCTTCTGCTTTTCTTCCCTTCAATATTTTCTATTTCTTTATAATCCAAAAACTTCAACTGCCACATTCTGATTGTAAGTATTTTTTCATTCTAGTTTCTATGTTCCTTAAAATATCTTCCTAGGTCACATGCTCTGACTATGGGATTTCCAGCATTCGTCGGTAGAACTACATCTCTTGCTTTTTCCTTTGGGAACAGACAGTCTAACATTTACTTCCATATAGTATATTAAACAGAGTAATTCAGTACTCTTTTCTTTGTTTCTAATGATATTTTCCTAACTCTTCATGCTTAGTTTCTTAAAAGCATATTTCATTATTCCTATGCATATTCAGATTTCAGTGTTAAATCTTTCATTGTCTATTACGACACTAGCCAAATAGTTAAATCAAATTAAATTGCTCTACCTGCTTGATTTTGACATCCCCAAAACACGTAGCTCAGACTTTGGGCTGTCCATTTTGCTGACGACCATGCAGTCTGTCTTCTTACAGTTAATAGTTAGTCATTTCTTCTTACTTTCTATTACTACATTGTCTAAGTGTTACTTCAGTTTATTTTCTGAATTTGTCAATAACAAGAAGTCATACGCATACCTTGTGTTGTTAAGATTATGTCTGCTGATAATAAATCCTGATAGGTCTTTTAGTTTTCATGGGATCATCTTGCTGTACATATTGAATAAATCCGGTTTTGTTTTACTTCTATGAATGTTTTTAAAAAACTGCACACTTATAATACCCGAAACTTTCAGACAAGTGACTATGAAATATCACCACTCATTGTACTAGTAAAAGAGGGATCAACGGCACACCCTGATGTCTGTAGCAAAGATAAACGAACACAAGTACTGTTATACTTATCAAACATAAAAAAAAGATTTCATACGAGAATGAGAAATATATATCATGAGACAACGTTGATGCTGTTCAGAAGTTATTATTTTTCATTACTTATATTCTGATAAATTCTAGATATTTATTCATCTTAAATTATTTCTTCACAAAGGATGATTATGTTTTGCCAATGCTCCGAGGTGTTTTGCATAGCTGGAAAGTGAAGATTCTGTCATTTAACACGTTCAACGTCAAACGACGTTAATTAACATCCCCCTTTTTCAAATATGCGCCTTGTCTTCATATTGTCCTCCGTACACTGCTGTGATTAATATTTGATTTCCAACTAAGCTATTTGATCTCTAGTTAAGCTATTGTTCTATTCTTAGCCCACACACGTCAGCCAAGAAAAACGGTGTTGAAGATATCAAACAAAAGTTACTTTAACGCAATCGGCACCCATCCCTGCAAAAAAAAAAATTCTTCCCACCAAAGAGAAGTAAATCTTGTTTAAGTTACCAACAGGTTTTTTCCCACATTACAAAATGTCGTTTATAAAATATTTTTCAAGCTTACTGTCATTCGACTAGCTAGTATACTGGACGGACAGGGGTTTGTCGCTCCCTCGGGTTACTTCCGAGAGAATCATTTCAATAAACGATCAGTTCAAATCGATTTTAATAAATATATCTTATATATTTGTGTTTAACTGGGTCAATTATTCCAAATTATGTCGTCTTCATTATTTGATAATCATTCAATTACAATTTATTCTGATCGAGTGTAGAATTGCAACATCTATATGCCGAATAAGAATAACTATTAGGTTGGTGCATAATTATCAGGCGTTTTTTAAACAATATTTATTATAAAAAAAAAGAAACATAACAATTCAACAATAACATTTTTAAATGATTATTCAATTCTGGAGCGTATGATTATCGACATGCATTTTCATAACCTTAAAATAAAATATCTTTATTAAGAAAAAGGTAAACAAAACAGTAATTTTTATTAACAAATTGCACGCCTACAAAATGCCTAATAATTATGCACCAACCCAATACTATATGCGTATATATTCCTACGCATATGTATACTCTCACACACACACGCACATACACACACATAAATCTGATGACGATACTAGAATTGTTTTTTTTTTTTTTTTTAATTCTTTTACGGTAGTTTTGAGGGGGTTTTTATATAGAATATTTTTAGAATTATTGCGAGGAATGCGATCTTTCAGTTCTACCTTGAGAAGATCTCTCAGCTTTGAATGGAGTTTTATTATTTTATCAGCTTCCAGTCAGGATAATGACTGGTATCTTATTTGTGAGGAAGTCAAATTTAGGCTGGAGATGGCAATTTGATCCCAGATTCAGGAATTCCTTCTGGTCATCTGTTAATTTTTGCCTGGATAGGTTTTATATTTATCACTGTCATTGTGAAGTAAAATGTTTCCATGGTATAAGTTGCAAAGCTTTTTAATAATTATTATTCTGTGTTTATGTTCGTCATCATTAAAGGTAATACGGTATTATGCTTTGTTATATTCGGGTTTGGTCAAGGTGTTTTTTTAGTATCTCATTGTTTTTAGTATCTTATTATGTTAAGTAGACTCGGTGAGCCGAGTTCAAATTCTGGTCGATTACTTTTCATTCATTTCGCGTTATTGTTCTTGAAAAAGGCATGAATCTGCCTCCACTCAGTTATAGGTTAAATAGATGACAACCAATCAAGAAAAATTCTGAATTTAAACTTAAAGAGGGTTGCTCAGAAACTTTGTAGTACAGTATATACTATTTCTCTGTTCTCAGTTCTTCTGAAAAGTCTGGCTGGTTCTACACAAGCCTTCACCACTACAATCAAATCATCCGTGTGGGTAGTCTATCGGGCTTCTTCTACATTGAACTGTTTGGCTTTCACGCGTTAAAATTGACAGGAGAGTTCATCGCATTCGCGTATAAAGACATATTTTTATTTGGCATGTGAAAGGGAATATGTAACTCGTTACATAATTACTGTCGACTCATTACACGAGTCTGACCATCGCTGACAAATTTGATAAGATATTTTAGTTCTCGTGAGAACGGCAATGGCGCCTGAAACCAGAAAGTCACCTGAAATGTTTATTGCAGATGTGGCAAACTAAGTTATTCTGTACAGGGTTTGGTCTTTTTCGTAAATTCTGTTCGGTTTTGTCATAGGTTTTTATGCGATGGGTTATATCGGAGCAGTCTCTGTAGTTTTTCTGACACACTACGTTATTCTGTGTAGTACTGATCATAATTTGTGAAAGGTCTACCAATATGATTCTTCTTGTGACAAACGAGGCCTGCCACATTCATCACATGCAAATTGATGGATTGATAGATCAATGATTTTCCCCTTTCCTAGCGGCACGCTTGACATTTGTCCAAGTGATTGCATATTTTTAGAAGATCTTAGTGGCTTCGTGAAATGGACGCTTCCACTTATTTCAATCACAAACTGCAATTTCTCATTCAGGATCTCCTCTATGACAATCTGCCTGAGCCTCTCTTGTAGCTCCTCGTTGGTTTACGGTGAGGTCGAGAGCCAGAGAACATTTGCTTATGCATTCTGTTGTCGTCAAGGTGATAGATATGGCCTGCCCAACAAAACACAAGCATCCGGCAGTTCATGGCCGAGAAGAACATCGCCGTACTGGAACAATCTCCCTGTTCATCTGACCTTGTTCGTGCTACTTTTTTTCTTTTCTTCACACACAAGTGGATTAACAAGGGGGTCCGTTTTGAAGGCGTGGAGGCCATCGAGAAGGCAGTAACGACGGAGCTTAGGAGCATCCAAGAAAAATATTTCCAAAAGTGCACAGAAGGCAGAGAAGGATGGAAAATTACATTAGACTTGAGAGCGAATATTTTTAAGAGGAAACGATGTAGTCTGTTGTTTGTAAATGAAATAAATGTTTGTGACACTGGACACGTCACTTCTCAGACAGCACTCATATATATATATATATATATATATATATATATAGATAGATAGATAGATAGATAGATAGATAGATAGATAGATGAAACAATTTAAAAACGTCTATTTTGACAGGTTTCGCCGATGAATCAACATCCTCGGTTAAATAATTTTTTTTCAACAAAATCTACATTAGCGAGACAAAGCGTGATTCCCATTGAGCAGGACAAAATGTGATACACGTTAAGCGAAACAAACGTGGTTCACGTTAAGAGAGACAAAACGGGATTCACGATTAATTATCTAACGTCTGATTTTTACTTTAACTATCGTTATAGACATATGAGTGTAATTTTAAGTATAGTTTTATTTTATTTATTCAATAATGTATTTAAACATTTCTTCCATTATAGGATGCAGCGGTAGCCTTCTATCATGTCTGGGTGGAACCGGCCTTGTGACTTCGATTCCATCTTCTTGACTGTAATCTTCTCAATATATTCATAGCTTACGGCGTCCAGATCCGTGAAGGGGAAAAAAAAACTCCCAATCAAAATATAAGAAATAGTAAATATTTAAAACAATTTGTTAAGCTTCTATTTTGACATGTTTCGCTGATGAATTGGAGTCATCAGAAAAATGTGTTTTTTTAGTAATTAGCGAGAAAAAATATGATTCATACTAAGCTTATGAATACTTGATTTTTTTCGCAGTTTTTATTTTTATTTACTTACAGATTCATGTATTTTAAGTTTTACATATCCCATATTGTTTCAGTATTTTGTAAGAACAGGCATAAAACTGAAATAGACCGGTCGTATATTAATTATAGGGGATTTGTAGATCATGATAATTTCATTGGATCTTCGTCTAATTAAATTGTATCAGAAAAAAATTATATATACATATATATATATATCATGTCTGAATAATGAGTTCGATCCTTAGTTGGTACCCTATGTAAAATTCGACTTTATATAACCCAACAGGAGTTAACATGGAGTAAAATCAACCAGCGTATGATAGATAGATAGATAGATAGATAGATAGATAGATAGATAGAGACAAAAGAAAAACTTATCTTAGTCGAAGCGTTCCGTCCGCTGAGGGACTTTATCAAGACAGATGCAAACATTATATTTTTTAACAATTATTTATATACACGAGCAAAAATGTTATTGATTTTTCAAAAAACTTTAAGAACGATCATAAATATTCATCAGGGTAGACAAAAAGTCAGGCTATGGAGGACGCGAAATGACACAATCCTATAATATCTAATAAACGAAAGTGAGTAGGAATGTGCACATATTAATTTTTAAATTTAAGAACGCACATATTTATGAGCCGTCATAAATTTTAAAAATAAAAAAAAAACAATAGAATTTTTGCTCTTGTATTTAAATACTTGTTACAAAATAAAATCCTTGCATTTGCCTTGATAAAGACTCTCATAGGACGAAAAGTGTTGGAGAAGATAAGTTTACGTTATGTCTTTATTCATATTGTTCTTTTACAGATATAGTATATCTGAAATTTTTACACACTGTCAACATGGAAACCAAAAACATGTGCATACACTTAGAAAATACAACCAATTAATAATATCCGAACATTCCTACTCACTTTCGTTGATTGGACATTGAATTGTGTCACTTCACGTCACCCATAGCCTGACTTTTTGGCTCCCCTGATGAATATTTATGAGCGTTATTAAATTTAACATTTTTGAAAAACCAATAAAATTTTTGTTCTTGTATATAAATACTAGTTACAAAGTAATATCTGTGCATTTGCCTTGATAAAGTTGCTCATAGAATAAAACGCGTCGGTTAAGATAAGTTTACTATTTGTCTTTAATCATATTGTCCTTATACAGATAGATATATTCTATCTGAAAAATTTGTAGATAGATAGATAGATAGATTGAGCTGGCTGAGATCGATTAATACGAAAAGACTAAAATAGTCTCCAGTCAATACCTATTCTTAGAATCGCCATGACTCCAGTACATTTCTAAGTTTTAATATTGCCATGTGTAAAATTGAAGAATAGAAACATACGGATTGATTTTTGGTTGCATGTCACTGTTATGGATTTGGAAATAAACTAAAATTACCTTAACACGATTGCGTTATTGACTGCGGTGTGTTTAGTTGGGTACATGGTCACAAGCTACTCACATTACTTGTTATTCCTAAGCAGTCACTCATCTAATATTGATCATGTTCGACTCTGCTTAACTACAACGAGCAAATGAGAATTGGCGCTTTCAGCGTGATATAGCGGTTAGCATATATTTACTTAATTCGCCACCAAGCAACCGTGAAGCAACCTGTAAAAATCAAAAATCCCTAAATTAGCGATTTGGTTTGAGAAATGGGCTTGTTAGCCATAGCTTCCGATTAGGTTTTCTTTTTACCGTCATTCTCATTTCACATCGTCTACTATCGGTATTGATTCCGCTCTCTCTCTCTCTCTCTCTCTCCTTCTTCTTCTTCTTGATTTCTTTATCGTCCTATTACTAGCTTTCTTTCTCTTCGCTATCACTTCTTTGCCAGCTCTTCCACTTTCTGTATTTTTACTTCTTTTCTTCTTTTATTTAGTTTCTTCTTCTTCTTCTTCTTTTCTCTGACGTTCTTTCTTTTTCTTTCTCCCTTTCTCTTCTCTGTCACGTCCTTTCCAGCTTTTCCACTTTCAGACTTTACTTTTTTTTCTTTTTTATATCTTTACTCCTCCTTCTTTTTATCATTCCTTTTCTTCTTCTTTTTCTTTGATACCTTTCATTGAAACGCTATTATAAATATATGTATTCACTTTCGCAAAATGAAATTACTCTCTCGCCCTTCTTTTTCACTCTCGTCCAATTTCTATTCATAGGTGACGTCGTTCCATACGACAAATATTTGCATTGGATGAGAAAAAAAGAGACGGGCGAATACAAAGATTGCTTAAAATCACAAAGCCAGATTGTAAATGAAGAAGAAAGAGAAAGAGCGAGAGACTGTGTATGAGAGAGAGAGAGAGAGAGAGAGTGGTGGGATGAGAGGGCGTTACAGTGAATCGTAAAACGAGATCAAAGAGTATAGGATTAAAATGTTATTAATGAGCGAAGAAAAATGTCGTCAAGGTGTAGACCTTGTTAAAGAAGGTCTGCAGCTTACGTGAGTTGGCGACATGAGTGGCTTGACTCCAAATAAGGGAGGAGATCCATTTTATAATAAAGATTCTAATGTTTAGATACCACTCCTTATCTCTCTCCCTCTCTCTGTCTGTCTGTCCCTATTACACATACAGACACATATGCGCACCCACACAAACAAACGCACACTCTCGTTTGGTTATAGAATGCCGAATATAAATCCTATAGGAAAAAATCACAATAAATTAATAGAACTTAGACATAGATTCAGTTTACACTAGTGTCAAAAAGGTAGATATAAGTTCGGTTTATACTAAAGTAAAAAAAAAGTAGGCATATGTCCATTTTACACTCAAGTCAAAACTGTAGATATAAGTCCGGTTTACATTTGAATCAAAACGATAGACATTGATCGGATTTATTAGAAAGCTTTCAAGTATTCACTCGAAAGGTGGTTCGGTTTTGGGTGGGGTCTTATCCCTCTACAAAGGATGCATTCGGCCTATTCCAAGTCCCGCTGACAGGGAAAACATTATTCTGCATGAATGTTACATAAAAACATGGATATTTCTATTCCTTTAACCTATTAAATTATCAATGTTTATTCCTAGTATATTATAGGTAAATATAGGAGGGCTGTTTATAGGCATATCATGAAGTTCGTAGCCCAATAATAAGGACATCATTTTCTAGGAAACAAATATTTCTTTTTCACCATAATCTCTTACCCTTAAACCAACTCTTCTTCGTGAATCACATAGATCATGTTATACAATCTAAACGTCAGATCAAATTTCAACTAATAACGTTGTATAAGCTGTTATCAAAGAGTTTTATTTTATTGATATCTGCATGTATTTCATTTTATTCCCTAAAACAACACAATATACACATAGACATAGCTCTATAGGCTTATTATTAAAATAGCAGATACGGCCCTATGTTCTTTGGGAGAACTACAGGAATCCAATAACATCACGCACACATTCGTGTGTGTGTGTGTGAGAGAGAGAGAGAGAGAGAAAGACAGAGAGACAGAGACAGAGAGCGAGAAAACTTTGCAGTTCCACAAAGAAGGTATTTCCGCAAAATTCTGATGCTTGCTCATTCGTTCAGAGAAAACGTTCGCATTTCTACCATATGACCCGGGTTTGAATCTCCCTACGGTCGATTTGTTAGGGAGGTGACTTCTTTATGTTATCGGCCTGAGCAGGTGATCCCAGTACATGGTACCGTTCGAAGGTACCTGGAATCCATACCACGAGTTGACCAAAGCCTTATGAGTAAAATTGGATAGACGAAACTGTTCGAATGCCGTCTAAGGTTGGACTAGCACGAAGTCACAAGTCATCGTGACTGAAGGTTTGAGCGTACTGTCCTTTTTCAAACTGCTGATCATGCCAAATTATGCGCTTTCTCCCACAAACTAACTAAGGTCCACTCAGCATAGTTATATTATGCCTGAGTTGGCATCTACAACAGAGGTTAAGTGGCCGTCCTAACAGACTGGTGTACTCTGATAAGAGTGGTCTCCCATTTTATGTATTTCTATAGTGTGTGATACATGTAACACAAAATAAAACAGTTTTTTGGAAGTATGTGAACATGTTGTGGTGCCTAGGAGAATGTTGTTCTTTAATCTTCGCATTCCATCTTAGATTGGACAGATGTCGGTTGTGTAGTCATGACGCGGGGCAGCAGATGATCCAGAAGATAATAAGGACCTTTCTACTACACTATGGTTATCTTTATCTGGTCTCAATTCGTCTCTTTCTTTTCTTCTCTTTTTATCTTCCTTCCACTTCTCTGGCGTTTGTTTACGTGTTTGATAGATAGATTGACAGACAAATTAGAATGACATCAACAAACATACATGCTACGATTAGTCTGGTGCGTGCTAAAAATGAAAGAAACTTAGATGTTGAACCAAACTTGACAATAAACATTCCTAATATTTTCACTATAGTTCTGGGAAAGATGACACATGAAGTGATACATGATCTAAAAATGAATACTCAGGCGTAACAGTCCTTATACTGTGTCCACACTGTCTATACCTATAAATGCTCTGTCTCCGATACTGAGCACTATTCATCCATAAATACAGCAAATTTTTAATTATATATATATATATATATATATATATATATATAATAGCTGGCCACTCGTATTCGAGGATACCAGAAGCTAGCCTATCTCTATTGCAGACATTTGTGTTTTTTTTTTCAACACCCACAAAGCCCACTTGTGGTTTATACTGCAACTATGCTGATCAGACATTAGTTACAGTTTCTGGGAGATAGCGTGTTATCTAGCGTGATCAAACAATTTGAACAAGGTCAGAATACTCAAACCCTCGGTCACGATGACTTGTGACTTCGAGCCATCACAGCTATCGACGGCCCCCAAATGTTCCGTCCATCCAATTTCACTCACAAGGTCAACCGGGTATGGCTTTCAGGAACTTTTCAAAGGTGCCGCACGCGGACCGATACCATCAGGAAGTCTCCTTCCTGAAAAATCAACCGTGGTGAAATTCGAACCCGGGTCTCATGGTAAGAAAGCGAACGTCATCTTCAGGGGTAAATTACAAAGACAAACGTATTGTAACTGCGATCAAATCTGGATTCCGATGTGGTAGTTATTTTAAAAATACTCCGCTATTTTAAATTTATCCGTTGTACTTGTGAATTTTTCTTCTGCAAAACAAGAGTTTCAATGTAAGGGAGCTGACCGCAAATGCCAAATATACATGCATTCTTATCTTTATATATATTTCTTTGTATGTGCATTTATGTATTTTTACATGTACGTATGTGTGCAAATGCATGCATGTCTATTTACGTAACCATATATATATTTGTGTGTGTTCTTGCAACATTTCGCCTTATTTGGCAGACCTTCTATTATGTCAATGTTGGGTACTTAGTAACAAAAGTGATAAAAATATAATTTAATTTAAAAATTACGCACATGTGTAGTTACGTCAACGTACAATTCAGTTTCGTCTGATGAAGTCCTAAATGACCAAACCTCATCGAAAGTTTTCCCACTGTGTGTGTGTGTGTGTGTGTGAGTGAGTGAGTGAGAAAGAGAGAGAGAGAGTTGAAGAATAAGCAAGTTAATGTAAGGAGCTATTTCTTTTTGTGATGTTGATTGATACAATTTCAGAAATTATTTTTTTATGTAATGTATTGCTGGTAATAATTTTTCTTCAAAAATTTATTGCTGTTAATAATTTTTTCAAAGTATTTCTGGTATTAAAACCTGTTTTTACACTTTCTTTGTGTTTTGACTCCAGTTTGGGGGGGTGCTAACTATTTACCCATAGCTGAGACCCTAACAGGTGCTACCATCCCGGGTCAGGGCGGACCTGGGAACGCCAGCAAATAAGAGGTAGTTCCCCGCTCCTTAAAGCCTTCTGATCAGAGGCCTTGCTGTTGGACGTAGTTTATCGTCTTACCCAGGACGCGGATGTAGTTTATCGTCACACCCAGGACGTTTCTATTATTTTTTTGTCATTCTCTTCCAGAAATAGGCAGTCATGTCTCTTCAGAAATTTTGTATTATTATCATTATTATTATTATTATTATTATTATTATTATTATTATCTATGAATTCCCACGCATTATTATTTGGAAAGATAGTGGAATGGTTTTCTGTTGCTTTCCCCATGATTTGGAATTCAGAGTTATATTTCTCTTAGACTGACTGACACCCAGGGCTAGAGAGTTCAGTTTACGCTGCTATTTAACCCCTCTAACTGGTCGATTTAGAAGAGACGAATTCATGCTAAGGTCATTAGTGCGAAAGTGAACGCAACAGACTAAAATTTGAATTCGACTCGCCGATTCCACATTCGGCGCTGATATCCGTCACACTACCCACACATCCGTAACACTTTATTAAATAAAATAAAATGTTACTAAGTCAGTTTTTTTTTTTTTTTTATCAAACAGAGGTGGTAGTAAATTATAGCCTATAAAAGTGGGAGAGCAACCTAAAGGCCAGACAATAATCGGA